GGTAAACGGTAACGGACCGTACCCAACCTAACGTACGTAACCCCGAACCTACTTACCTACTACTAAAACGAAAGACGTACGGGTCGTCTCTCTCTCTCTCTCTCTCTCTCTCTCTCTCTCTCTCTTGTGATTTTTAAGTGCAAAAAAAAACCACCTCATTGATTAGGAGAATGTAGCTGTGCTCCATTTTCCCACTCCGCTCTCTCGCATCATACGCCTATAATCTGAGACTCCAACTATTAATTGAACCTAAATAACCCCAGCAATTTGACCATCCTGCACATTATGGCAACTGGTGGTGAAAAAACAGATTTCTGGGTCCGAAGAATGCCCGCTGTCTGCATTTTGAGGTGCCACTGATGATAACCATCATTATTCATGGCTGGTCTCTTTTCCTCTCAAACTACTAGTTAAGGCTTCAGAGAGAGAGAGAGAGAGACATGAGCTATTTAAGGGTGGGGGTTTGATTCGAAGGGACAAAAGAGGGATTCATGGTCATGTTTGGTTTGAAAATAGTCAATTTGAGGCCTTACAGTTTCATGACTATACCCGGGGAGGAGAAAACCACCCAAGCATCTAGCATTCTAGTGCAATTTCTTTTCCAAAACTAGCTCTCTCTCTCTCTCTCTCTCTCTCAAACACCCATTCAAGATTTTGCTTTTATTTACAAGTTAGAGAGAGAAACTCTCTCAACCTCCCCTCTTAACTCCTCCTCTCTTGATTTGTCTTTCGTCTGTGTTAGTTTGATAATGGAGAAAGCGCCTATGAGGACCGTTGACTTGTAAGAGTGATTTGATGTGTGAGAAGAATGGGAAGCCACTCTCGCTCTAGCAATGATGAGTGAGAAAGTAGGTCTCTTCTTCTTTTCATAGTTGGTTAACTGGTATATTTGGTGCTTTTCTCTCTCCTAGGTGGGGTACCATGCAATGGTTCCTCTCTAAAGAGAGGGAGGGGTTCATCGGTCAATTGGTTCATGGGTTGTCACAGGACCTGGACCAACAGATCATTTTCCAAACAAAAAAGGGTTGTATGGTACATCATAGTGGGAAAGAAGTTGAGAGGGGTTTTGAACCCTGATCTAAAAACTGGGAGAGGGACCACGGGCTTTCCATAGACCTGAGGGCTTATTAGGGACTACAAGCATGGAGAAGGGGTATTAGTCTGTTTCCCTAATTTACAATCACAACCTAAGGAAAGAGAAGTCAAAACATGTTGATGGGTTCCTCCCCATGATACAAGCAATTTAAAAGAATTTGGAATTAAATTCTTAAACTATTTATCTTTTATCAAAAAAAAAGTCTCAAACTATTTATCTACCATAGTTATGCTTCCCTAAAACCTAGTTACTCAACAAAGATGAAGCAAAACAACTATTTGTTTCCTGTCCTGTCCTGTCCAAAGAAGTGTTTGATATGAAGTTCTGAAAAGGTAGTTCTGATCAGAAGGCAGTTCTGATGAGCAGGCATCCCAAGTCAGGCAAGTTTCATAAAAAACAAGAAAAAACAAAAAAAACAAAAAAAAATCTAATCTCACCAGTTTCATTCAGCTTATTCAATAGTTGTTCCCTTGTCGGAAGAGCATACATTCCTGCACTAACCGCTTTCCGGATGGCCCAGCTGTGATATGGAGCACAAACTTGTGTGTAAGCTGTCGATGCCGGTTCCTTCAAAGAGGATCCTCTGCAACATTACAAGAGAACATCTTACATGACACCTTGGATAATACAAAAACAGCACAAATGAATCATATTAAGCATGCTGCCACAACGGGCAATACCTAACTCGTTATCATATATCTTCACATTTATACACAAATTAATTGTAGAATCAACAGTTACAAATATTTATAGAAATAAGACCTGTATTTGAATCATAAATAATACGTTTATTCCATACATTATAAGGATAAGTTTCCATGGAACTTTATTGCATCTGCAAAAGTAACACATAATAAAGGGAAAATCTGGGGATCAAAATGGGCCAAAAGAAAAGGTTTTAAATATCTTAATCTGTATGCTTAACCTTAGAAGTCTCATCTTCGAACCATATATCTTGCAAACACTGCAAAAAATCATGGGAAAAGGTGAGGAAGTTGAAAAAAGATTGAACGTTGGCCTCTGTCAATGTGATATAGATGTATGTACATATCTTAGGAAACGGGTCCATCATCAAATCCTTCAAGACCAATGTCCTGATGAGGAGTATCTTGTTAGTACTTTAAAGAGTGTCATAAAAAAACCCCAGTATGGTACCCTCTGTTTGGGTATTTTTATAAGTTAAAGCAAAATATGGCTGAGGAGTTGCAGTCCCATAATGCCTAGAGAAAAGACTCTTAAGGTTTTATATGTGGGAAACTTCCTTAGCCCTATGGGGGCTTAGAAGAGAGAGACTTCGAGCCTGTTGGGTGCTCTCCACACACACACACGAGCATGTGATGCCTAGCTGGCTTGGCTGAAGCTGTACCTGTGGCTGAGGCTGAGGTTTGGGTTGGAGCCAAAGTCCCTTCTTTTAGTTGTCCAAACCTTTTTCCGGGCGGTTAAGCCACTGATCAGATACGCCCTAGTTTCCTATTGTTTAGGGATTTTAGTTAGGTTTGTTATTTAGATAGGTAAGATAAAGACATTTTAATTAGTAGGATAAATATGGGATAGATATTACAGTAATTTGAGATAGTGTTTAGAAGAAAATAAATAGGGAGAGAGTAAGCTGTAGAAGGGAGCCAGAGAAAAACCTAAGTGAAACCCTAATGGAGGACTGCCTCCCTCGAAGTGGCTTGTGAGGAGGTTTACACCCTCGAAGTGAAATATTATTATGAATAAAGTTATTATTTGTTTTTATTATTTCTTATTATATTTGTATGGGATCATAACAATAGGTGTCAGAGCATCGTTCCCAGGGCATTTCTGATGGATCGTGCTACAATTGAGGAAATAAGGCACATGATGAAGGAAATGATAGGAGCGTTGAAGAAACTCGAAGAAAAAATTGATGAGCGGATCATGAATAATAAAAGAGGGTCGATCATTTGTTGGAGCTAATGCCCTACAAAGAACCTAATGCCAAAGATCCTCTAGAGCCAATGCCTTGCAAAGTCAAAGTGAAAAAGAAGAAGAAGCCGCAAACGAAGAAAAAGAAGAAGCTGAAAACAGAAAATTCTCAAAAAAGGCGAAAAATCAGAAAAAAGAAAACTACATTGGTGGAGCTAATGCCAAATACCCTCTGGAGCCAATGCCTCGCGAAGTCAAAGTGAAAAACAAGAAGAAGATGCAAAAGAAGAAAAAGAAGAAGCTGAAAAATGAGACGAGGCTGAAAAAGGAGAATTCTCAAAAAAGGTGGAAGATTTGAAAAACAAAAACTACAAAGTAACCAAAGAAAATTAGGTTTCCAAATATCAACACAAAGTTACCAAATACTAACAACGAGAACTGGAAAGTAAAAGGCCGTACATTCACTTGGCTTCAAAAATGTTCCAACGGTGAAAGTGAATCGATGGTGTGGAAGTGGGAATATTTGGAAAAGAAAAAAAAGAGAGAGAGAGAGAGAGAGAGAGAGAAAGTTCACCAACCTTGAGGACAAGGTTGTTTTCAAGGGGGGTGGAATGATACGTCCCTAGTTTTCTATTGTTTCCTATTGTTTAGGTTGGTTAGGCTTGTTATTTAGATAAGATAAAGATATTTTAATTAGGATGACAGATATGGGATAGATATTACAATTATCTGAGATAGTGTTTAGAAGGAAATAACTAGGGAGAGAGCAAGTCATAAAGGGAGCTAGAGAAAGACCTAAGTGAAACCCTAATGGAGGACCGGCCCCCTTGAAGTGGCTTGTGCGGAGGTTTGCCTGCTCGAAGTGGCAATGATATTAATAATGTTATTGTGTTTGACTATATTATGTATGGTATTGTAACATGATCCAACCTCTCATAGGGGTTTAGATAGAAGCTCAACTTCTCACAGTGGTTGTCCTCAAGGCCTTACAAAGAAAACCAACTTTTGACCATGGTTAAGCAGCTTCTCATCGAAGTCAATGATACTTTCTCTCTTCTAAGCCAATTAATTTGCCTCGTTTTCTCTTATACCACCTCTCTCTTTGTTTGTTATTCTACTTCTTTTATAATCTGTGGGAAGCAGAAACACTAACAGATCTCTTCTGTCGAAGATAATGGTGAGGATATAAATAATTATATATATATATATATATATATGCGAAAAAACTACGAATAGCTTGGCACCTATAATGAATAGTAATATAGGTAGAATCCCAACCGTCAGGTCTTCATTGGGTGGCACAAAATACATGTCACTATATGAACTTTAATATTTTTTTAGAGATCGGATCATGATGAAATTTTGGGCATGTGTATTAAAAAAGACGCACAAAAAAAATATATAAAACAAAACTTCTACAAAATATAAAATGATCAAAATATACCTGAAAAATGATGGGGCTGATTTGATCATATTCAATTCTTGAAAGTATTTTTATATTTTTATATGGTGTGTTCTGGTGTCAAGTATATATGCCCAAAATTTCATCATGATCCGATCTCTAGTAAAACGATTAAAATTCATATATTGATATGTATTTTGAACGTCCGATCAAGATCTAATGGCTGGGATTCTACCTATATTACTATTCACTATAGACACCACCTTTTGGTAGCTTTATCCATATATATATATATATATATATATAAATAAATGATGGGAATGTTTTTGGAGCATTTTCTATTGTGAGTCTTTTTTATTCAGTGTATTGTATCAAGTCCATCTTAGTGTGTGTGTTGAGTCTACTCTGGTGTGTCAAAGTCATAGAAGCCGATCCATGTAAGTCAGTTATCAATTAGTTTCAATTATATGACAAGCGTCTCCAATTTATGTTCATTTCTTATACTTCCTTTTGTTGAATTTTTATGTTGATATTGAATCTCTTATGTTGTATGTTGATATTGAATCTTTTATTTTGTATGTTGTTGGGTCGTAAGTGAATCTTTTATGTTGTATGATGTTGGGTCCTAAGTGTGACATCAGAGCCAAAGAGTGACTATTAAGGTAATAGTAGTGTTCATCACAGTTTTGAGTGACACCTAAGTCACAGTGAGCTCATAAGTCCAGAAGACAACTTGGTTAAGACGTATAAGAGCATTGTTTCCTGTGACTATCACCAGAAATTTCTTAGGTGAACCAAACCATTATCCTGATCGCCAGCATACTAAGATCTTTGTCTCGTAGATCTAATAGTGATAATATTATGCATGTCAATAATACAGAAGAGGTTATTATTCATAATGCTGAGAAACAAATCCAAAATTGGAATATCCCTAAAGTTTCAGCATATGATGTGTATTAGAAAGGAACATTTGAATTTAGAAGTGATTATTCGATAAAAGCGGTTGAGAAAACTATAACTGTAATGGAAAGTCATGATAGTTTTCAATTGTTATCCAGAACTATGATTGAAGATCATAAGAGGAAAAAGTATAATTACTTGCACATTGGCCTTATTCAGGTAGCCATTAAACCATTAACCAGAATAGGATTAAATAATTCTATCTTATTATGTGTTCGTGATTGTAGACATAGTTTGTTGATTCCTTATTAGGAATAGTTCAATCTAGTCTTTGTGAAGGACCTATTTATTTTAATTGTTACCCTAATTTCTCGGTAGCACTCACAGATCCTAATATCTTGAAGGTTCTAACTTTGAATCTAAAAACTCAAGGATTTGATATGGACCTTGGATCACAAAATATTGCTATAATTTATAGAACCTATTACAAAGTCATGAATACTCTCTGCCTTGATGTTAAAAGAATCAATTCTATGGGACAAACTGTCTTCTTTCAGACCAATGTAGGAAAGTCCAATTGAATATTTAGATGGCGAAGTTGAAATCCAATTCTTTCTCTCTCTCTCTCTCT